ATGTTCAAGTTATAATGGACTCGAACAGCTACATGACAATGTTACCCAGCATCATCATCATCATCCCTCCTTATCCTACTCCCGTAAGGTCGGCGCAACAGGTACCAGGTACCCAGCATAAAGACTTAATTTTAGATTTCATTTTGTTGTTATTCAGAATTCATCATAATGTTTAAAAAAATGGTCCGCCTAGTTAATGGTGGTTTCATTGTTATTTTGATTTATTTAAAGCTTAATCAAGAAAACATTTATTCTTTCTATTTTGGTAGGCTTTAGTAATTTTTAATCTCCACAAGCAGTATTTCGACTTGTGGCTTGCTGGAACTTGTGGCTGTAAACTGTCACTGTCATTGTAACTGCTCGCTTGGTTCACCATTTTACAGCAAAATTACATATTAAAAACCCAAGAATTAGTTACGTATTGATTATTGACGGCTGAGGTATTTTCAAGTCGATTTGGATGAACGAATTAAGAATCTGTTTTCCTAAGAGTTGAGTTCAGAAATTTTTCCGATATTCATAATATAGCTATGTCGGCATTTTCCTAGTTGTTGAATAGTTTGGTTTGGAGCAATATTTTATTGTGTTCAATGGTCGTTGTCTAAGAAATGTATCGATTTGTGGATTCAGTCTCCGTCTTTGTTTTTTTGTAGTCTTTAAAGGGTTATGTATAACAAGCTATTCTTGTTTAAAACTAGGAAACGTTTTGTTTCATTTTATGTATATTCAATCAGTTCGGGACTGATGTAATATATCTAAGTTGGTTTTTCATTGGTAATACAAAAAATATGGCTGCCATTGTCAAAGAAACTTCTAGCAATTATGTGCTATTTTCTATGTAAATCTGGGTAAAATAACAAAGTTTGTGTTTTTTAACTTTTAGTATGTAATAATCAATTTTGTAGACTTCTGATAAATGTTAAAAACTTGGAATTAAATTCATTTCACTTGTTTGGTATTTGGACGGTAAATTTTAGGCAGCTACTATGGAATGTGTTGATCTATTGGCAAAGGACTTACCTTTTCTGCTTGCTCTGTACCAAGCTGTGATAATATCAAATAGTCCTGTATACATTTTGTAATCAATTATTTAAAAAATCTTGGTAACACATAGATAGTTACAACTTTCTGAAGGCTTAATTTAATTAAATCTCACTTTAAATATGTTGTGTGTTATGAACTTCTTAAAAATTTAATATGTACAGAGCCATGCTCTAGAGGATCATAAAGGTCTTTTTGTAAAAGTTACAAGTTTCCACACTAAGCTAGGGTCGGTGTTTCAGTGTGTTTTGTGTTCTTTCGAGGATTTTCAGATATTTTATCTGTGCTCTTACCTCAAACACATTCCCATTAGTACTGTGGGTGGCATCTGCATGCTCCATTTCTTTGAAGCGGGGCCTAGGTTTTGATGTATTTGAATTGACCCCCATCTCTTTAATTTATCCCAGGTGGTGTCTCGCAGAGCCACTGTTGTTTTATCAGTGTATCATATGACCACCATTCTAAGAAGGAATTCTTTCATGAAAATCAACTACAATGTGATCTACAACTTCTAAGTAAATTGAAGAAACCTCCCAAACAGGTAATAAAAGCCTAATTACATGCATAATGCTAAATCATGTTAAAAAAAAATCGATGTATTTATAGACTATGTTATTTTAATATAGTGTAGAAAGTCCTCAATTTGAGGTCCTGTAAATCTGTTGTTTTTCAGCATAGTTTTGTACAGTTTGAAGTATCTTTTGGATTAACTAGATGTTTATGGTGGACTGAAGGTTTGCTGGTGTGGTCGATTAAATTATTGTAAAAGATTCATTAAAAATGGGTTGCCTAGTATGGCTTGGAGCAGGTAAGAACGACCTTCTGATTCTTTGCTTTCCGAATCCGATCTACTTTTGTGCCTGTCTTTGAGGTGTCGAGGGCTTCCTTGATCCTCAATCAATGACATGTTCCCCGATGTTTTTGGGATCAGTGGGAGACGATTATGGTGTAACTGGGTCTTAGTAGCGGGACATTGGCAGCGACTTTGGCGTAGCTCTTTACTGGCCTTCCTGCCGTTTGTGACTCTTTAGCCAGGTTCAAGGCATGAGGCGGGGAAGCTCTCTCAACGCTTTTAGCTCTGACTTCATCGCCTCCATTCCTTCGGTCAACGGATGACCGACGGCAGAGTCAAAATAACGACGCGACGCCTGCTTCAGGTTGGGCTATGGTGGGTAAGTCCAAGTCTATATGAAGATCACTATTGCGCATGTACCATGGGGCCCCCGTGGCTCTGCGCTTGAATCTATTTTGAATCACCTGAAGTCGGTTTATTTGTTTCGGCGAGATGTGCGCGAATACCGGGCTAGCATACGTCATGACGGGACGCACAACAGATTTATAGAGTGTCACCTTATTCTGAAGGGACATTTTGCTCTTTTTATTAATTAACGCGGAAAGACGACCTAAGATGAAAGCCGCGCGGTACCTGCCCCGGGTCACGTGTGCGGAGAAGTTGAGTTTTGTGTCAAGGGTAACACCTAAGTATTTAACTTGGTCTTCCCAGGGTATTGGGCTGTCCAAAAGCTTAACAGATGTGAGACGAGGTTCTTTGCTGCGTGAAAAGTATAGAGCCGCGCTTTTGGTAGGATTGATTTCTATCCGCCATTTCCTAAACCAGGCACCAAGGGTGTTTGCTGCAGTCTGTAGACGCCGGCATATGGCATCAGGCTTACGGCCTGATGTAAAAATGCAGGTGTCATCGGCAAATAACGCTAGTTCCACACCATGTACGCGCGGAATATCGTTGGTATATAGTATAAATAGGACTGACCATACCACCGACCCTTGGGGCACCCCGGCTCGAACGGGATGTGAACTAGAGCAAACTCCCTCGACGCGGTAGCGAAACGTGCGACTACTTAGGAAGTCTCGTATTATGCATACGAGACGATCGGGTACTCCGTACACATATAGCTTGCATATAAGTCCGTTGTGCCATACTTTGTCGAACGCTTTTGCTACGTCAAGAAATAGAGCTCAGATGTTAAGGCCGCGTTGACGTTTAGCTAGTATGTGTTCCGTCGCGTTCATAAATCTTCCCAAAGGTTTTGAGAAGACTTATTGGACGATATGATGTGGGATTTGTCGGCGGCTTGGATGGTTTGAGGTACCCTATGACTTCAGCGTCCTTCCACTCGCGGGGAAAGACACCTCGAGTCATTGCTACGTTAAATATGGTTACGAGACGCTGTATAATAGCAGCAGGACATAGTTTGACCACCCTATTGCTGATGCCATCTGAACCGGGCGCTTTGCGGGGGCGTAAGTTTTTTATTAATTCCTCAACTTCATCGCTAGTTACCGGAGGAATGGAATCGAGAATTCTCGACACTCGACCTCTCTGCCCACCTTTCGGAGGTGTTCAGGGTCGACCGCTAGGCTACTAGGGGAGCATTGGGCCTCGAGACTGTCAGCCAGGCATTCGGCCTCGAGACTGTCAGCCAGGCATTCGGCTTTCTCATCGTCCAGCATGGCTGGTATTATATTTGGACGTTAGAGTGGCGGCATCGAAGGGCACGTGTCGCCTTTAAGTGACTTAGGGAGTTTCCAGAAGGCTAAGTGCGATGGCTTTAAATTACTGAGATCTGAATCCCACATTTCGTTCCTTAATGCAGCTATGCGTGTTTTAACCTCACGCTGTAGTTTGCGTAGCTGTTTTCAGTTCAATTCGGTGGGATACATATCGTGGGCACGGGTAGCCGCGTTCTTGCGCCTCAATAAGTCTCTAATATCTGGTGGTAGTGACCAACGATGATTATTCATCTCTGGGATCTGCCTTGAGCAGTCCTTTATGACGTTTTGGACATGACTTGTTAGAGAGCCGATCGCGACACCCATGTATTGTTCAGTAATTAACTGATCGGGGATGAGAACCTCATGGGCCGCGGGCCGTATTTATAGACGGCGACGCGTGCGCTCGGGTTTCTTCGGCGGTGTTTGGGTGTCACCAACGGCAATAGAGTTGTGCTCCACGTCAGAATCACTGCTTCCACTGTTAAAGAGCAACCTTGATTTTGGCGATAAGTTGACTTCTGCAGCTTGGACACTGCTCTGTTCATATCTGTATAGATGTTCTCAAACTGGTGAATACCCGTCGAACAATGACTTCGTAAGTTTCTTAGGGGATGCGAAGTCAATAGGTGTTAGGTGGAATCCGGTGCAAACACTTGCTTCCGGCGAAGTGGGCTCTAATATTTGTGCCATTTTAATCGTCAAACGCTTCAACGCACTCGTCTGAATTACTGTATTTTCTCCTTGGCCATAAATTTCTTATCATCTAATTCCTAGTTCGGGCCCCACGCTGGGCGACCAAATTGTAAGGAAGAACAGTTTTTTTTTTTTATAACATAAGTTGGCAAACGAGCAAGCGGCCACCTGAATCCGCCAAAATGGCGAAGCGACCGCTGCTCATAGACATCCGCAATTGCAGATGCGTTGCCTAACCTTATCCGACAGAGGAGACGCACATAAAGAGGACATCTCCCCTTCCTATGTATCTCCTCCTCCGTTAAATCCACTTCCTCTTCCCATCCTCTCCTTATAAGAAAAGGGTGGTAAAGAGAAAGGGACTTAAATTAGGCCTCCAGCACCACACTCATCAGACGAAACACGGAATTGCTTCCATTTCCTGCCTGTCTTCTGTGTGGTCGTGGTATTACACCGGACATACTGCGCATCAACCTCGTCAACCAAGCACTCAATACGTAACTGTATCTCGTCAAAGCGATCATATAGCGCTTCAATCCTCCCTATACGCAATGGCAATTCTTTAAGGGTTACTGAATCTAACGGTGGCTTTAATTCCTTGTAGTAATTGACAAATGAAGTTAACTGGCCCTTGAAGCTGTTCCTTTTTTTAGTAGGCTCTTTAAGTCCATCTGGAGACATTCTGGGAAACCAGCGTTAATCTTTTAGAATCTACAAATAAAATATTAATAATAGTTCAAGGAATGCTTTAATAAAATATTTACAATAAGTTTAATACTTTTTACTGAATACAAAGAGTAAATACGTCACCTATTTATGACACAATATTATATTTCTTAAATCCAGTTGTCTAGATAATAATATCTTATGTAAGATAAGTACATTTAAGATGACTTATGAATACCTTAACAACTAAGTACCTTAGTCATTGTGATCCATATTTTTCGTGTCTGGTGTCTTTTCTTCAGACTATGTTTTATCTTCGTAAAGGCAGGGGTTTTAATAAGTTCAGTTCGGCAACCAACATATTGTGCCTCTTCTGGGACAACGTAAACTTTTTCATCACTTGTACCAATTGAGGTTATACACATGGTGTTTGATTTTTTGTCGCTTGATGGCAAAAAGGTAAATTCAAAACGGAGTTTCTCCATGTTTAATGCTGTTGTGATAGATCTTATAAGAAAAAGTCGTTTTAAAAAGATTTCTATTGCGGATTACTAGTTTTCAAATAAATGTGTTGCTCGGCAAAAAGATTTTTTTTTTTTTAATTAACTTAATACCTTTTTTTAGTGAGCTCTTTAAGTCCATCTGGAGACATTCTGGGAAACCAGCGTTAATCTCCTAGAATATACAAATAAAATATTAATAATAGTTCAAGGAATGCTTTTATAAAATATTAACAATAAGTTTAATACTTTTTACTGAATACAAAGAGTAAATACGTCATAAATAGGTGACACAATATTATAATAGCTCATGTAAGTACATTTAAAATAACTCCCTATGTTTAATACGGAGATCGGGACCACAAAAGAAACACTTGATTATACTTTGCACTACTATATTTGAACATTCACATACATATCAAATCAGTGACATTTCAAAACAAAATGCCACCGACTTATAAAAAACTAATAACTCCATCTATTGATTTGCAGCTTAAACACCCTATATAACTTAATACCTTAACAACTAAATTACAAATCACATCAAAATACACACCTGCAAAAAGAAACGACATTTATGTTACTATATTATCATCCTTTTCCTCACATTTTACTCACTATAATTATGACGCCATTTTTGGCCTTAAGATGGCTTCTAGAATCAACCAATCACCGATAGGCAATGACATTCGTTTAGAAACAGTGTTTTGACACAATTCTAAAATAAAAGAAATATTATTTTTTACATATATCTTCTTTTTAATCATAAACACTAATCTTGAACCAAATTGAACGTAGTTATGCTGCCTTATTAAACGCGTTTCTAGAACAGAACGAACTGTTAAATAAAGCTCCTATAGGAGGTCATAAACAGCATATCGCTATCTCTGTGCGGAACGCGCAAGAATGTGTGACAGAGAAAATCACCTCTCACTCACTCTCATTATAATTAACTATTAATCAATCTCTTCCGGATTGGTCAATAAACTTAGTTTTTAATTGGTGTACATATTTTAGCCAACAAGCACGTAGCAAATAAATTGTATAAATAGTTAAGAAATTAGAAAATACAGACATTACAAATCTGGACTCCGTGTGTTATTCTTCCCGCAAATATCGACAATAGTGAAAGCCTCCCACACTCTAAAGACCTTGATGAAGTTGTCTATGTGACCTAATACCAACCTATCACCTTCATCAATTCAAAAGAAATTATGATCTTTGCTCGGAAACGAATCGGACTTTAAGGCGGCTTCGCAGGTCTTACGCATAATGGGGATGTTTCCTAATTTTTGGAATTGCTTTTATTATGTAGATAAACCGTATCTAAACATGAAAAAAAATATAATAAAATCATATAC